GGAGATTAATCAGAACTGGCTTTGACAAGCACTGTGGCAATGGGACAATTAAAACAGACATTCGGGGGGAAGAAGAATGAACTGGGGAGGAGGGTAGAGAAAACAGTGCAACAATGAATGAATGAGAACCCAAAATCTCTGTAAATATTCATTAAAACTAATAAAATTTAATAATAATTTTTAAAAAATTCTTTTTATTCATGCAACTTTTCTGCAAATTTGAAATTATATCAAAGAGGGGAGGTGTTCACAACAATCAACCCTTTCTCAGTCACCCACGCTTCACTTACCTGCCTCTCGCTCACTCGAAGTGGACCGAACACAATGCACTGGATTAGTTTAGCCACCAACATCAAAATACAGCAAGCAGTGTTTACCAGGACCTGCATACAGACCAAAACAAAGTTTATTTTCTCACGGTGAAAAAGAAAAGCAACTGAAGACATTTCCTTTTAGGTGGTCAGCCATCCTTTCTGCTGACTGAGCCTTCCCCATTCTCCACCTCTATGAGGCACGGGACACTTGCAGGGGTACAGTCTTACTGGGGTGAGGAATGGCACCAGCTGTCCTGTATAGTCACTGTTCCCCATCCCAATACAAGGGACCCTGGGACCTAGCTTGTAACATTCCAGGCTGCTAACTGAAAAGTTGGTGGTTTGAATGCAGCAACTGCTCTGAAGATGAAAGACGGGCAGTCTCCTCACATAAAGATTTACAGGCCCCAAAACCTGAAGAAAGGCCACTATGAGTGAAGACTCCACTCAAGAGCTTCTATCCGCTCAGTGGATTCTATCAGAACCCAGCGGCTCCTCTCCACTCAGTGGATTCTATCCCAGCATGCATCCTCCGGCAGGTCACCCGGCTTGTTATTAACTATGTGTGAAGCGAAGACAGCTCATCATTGCCTCCTGTCATCTCAATACAACTGTTTACGATTAAAGAAACTATAGTACATTCACACAATGGTGTATATGCAACACTAAAAAAAAAAAGAGTTCACAAAACACTGCGTAACCTAGAGAAAATGACGAGTGAGAAAAGTCAAATACTGTATCAATACCACAATATAAAACTTTGGTGGTCTCGTGCTAAGGTGCTGAGCTGCCAAGCCAAAGGCACGTGGTTCAAATCCACTAGCTGTTTCGCGGGAGAAGATAAGCAATCTCTTCCCGTACAATTTACAGCATTTGAAAACTCACTGGGGGGTCAGCTATGAGTTGGTTCCAACGTGATGGTATGTAACATCAGTAACATTATAAAAAGCTCAGGAAAGGCTTACAAACAGATAAAATCATTTTGGGAAGGTTACCAGGGAAGGGGAAGAAAAAAGAGGGGAGTAAATATTAGCAAATAGATACCAGAGACTTACTAAGTTACACGAAGGATTCCCATGCGACCCACAACTCTGAAGCCTGCCTTGTCCTGGACCAGTCTTCACTGATTCTGAACACCTATTCCCATTGCCTCAATTATTTTATCAATTTATTGAATGAAAATCCAATACTTTATAAACTTTCAAATCAAGATAAAAGAAAAAAGAAAGATAACCATTTATACTCACCAACTACTCATATGCAAATTCAAGCTAAAGCTGAGGAAAATTAAACCAAATCCAAGGCAACCAAAATAAGACTTTGAGTCTATCCC